GGTCGTACTTAAAATGCGCATGCATTTTCAGTAATGCGACAAATTTTAGCGCTTTCCACATCGTGTTCAGTCTCCTACAAATGTACTTTTGTCGGGCGATTTAATAGACCTGCTACGTTCTGAGAGCGGAAAGATTCGCATTTGTGTGACTGACAGGATGCCTGCACCATTATCGATTCATTCCCAATCCCTGATTGGACTCTAGTTGAGCACATTCTTGCAGTCCGGTAAATTGGGTACACTTTTTCTTTCCAGCGTTTTGGTCTTCCATGCCGCTGTGACGTAGGTGACAATTCACAGTGTTCACGCAATGTCGCTCCGTTATCAGGGAACTTGTCAAGTATTGAATGAGACAAATTATGAAAAGAAGAAAAAATCAACTCATCAAGAATTATAGTCAATAAGAGAACTTGTATCAAAGTTGCATGGTGCTGCAGAGAATCAGTAATACCATTGACTGTAAATCCTTCGGTGTTGAATAATTAGCATTAGTTCTTGCAATTGTATTTTTCACTATTTCTCACTGAGCGCGGCCCAATTAATTTACTTGCTGAAATGGGACCAAACAGCACTTTTTGCAAACACATAAATATATGTGCATTTCGTTAGTTTTCTGCATGCTAAAAGACTCGGAAATAGCACAAACCCGTAAACTTTGTACACGTTTGAACTCGCGTTGTTTGGCAGTCTCTTTCGTAGTGATTCCTCTCTCAACACCACGCCTGGAGATTCTCCACCATCAGCGTTACGGAGAGGGCGTCGTTGGGGCCCAGTCAAGAGGTGTCCGTTTTGTCGCGGCAGCGCACCGGCGCTGGCTGCAACCATCCAGCCATTGATGTTTGTCTTGCAAGCCCACCTTCTGGGCTTTTGTGCCCGCCTCCACCGTCCAATGATCACGAATCTAAATTACAAATGTGGGCATGCAGGGGGTGTTTTCACGAGCCTCTACATGTGGGCCAATCCGTACGGAGATCTCACAGCAGACGCATGAAGCTTCTTTCAACAACATTCTGTGGAGGCCCCCCGGATGCATTCTCCAAAGCAGCCTAGATACACCAGTTTCAAATGTACAGTTGCATGACGTAATATGAAGTAAGGTCGAGACGCTTGTTTCGCTGCTGCCTCAGCGTGTCCCACTGCTGGGGTCCAGGGAACTGACGTCCAATCAATCGGTGGACTGGAGGGTGAAGTGCGGCTCATTGTGCTGTGCTCCCCTCGGCTGGAGTATGCCAGTGACAACATGGCCAAGACTACATGACTTGGTTCAGTGAATAAAGCCCGTTGACAGTAATGAGTGTTGATGAGGACGTCAGTGCGGTTTGCGCTGCGGGTGAAGTATTTGTGGCAGTCTTGCGTGGTCAATTTCCAACGGACGGATTGATGTTGAACATCCAGTTGTTGTGACTGCCCTTCGCTAGAGCAAGTGAGCTCAATGCATCTGTAACTACATCTGTCCGCGATATCGGAGCACTTGCTTGTACAGGCACATGTGTGAATGCACTGCCGAAAATGATTCTTGGGAGCGGCAGCACTTTCCTCTGAGCTACGAATACTTACCCAAATATACTCCTTGCAGATATGTGGCAGGTGCTGACAAACACATTATTGCTATCGCCAAAGTGGACACAGGCCGTCGTTGCTTACTCAGGACTGAAGCCAGCACTTGGTCTTTCTTGATAGCTCGCCAAAATCGCTGAACTCGCTCAAATCAATTAAACATACGATGAGGAACATCGGAACTGCTCCGATTTGGATTGTTACATTGCAATTTTGATCAACTGCCGTTCGCTGTGGCTGCCATATCCAGCCACATTTTCTGCACGCTCAACGATCAGCCATCAACTTCAAAGCCAAAATGACATTTCCAAGGATATCCCTAAAGATAAGCAAAGCTCGCCGTCGGCTGGATCGATTGCTAACGCATCAGCTTGGCCCTTTGCGCGAATTTGAGAAGTGCTGCTTCGCTGCGTCGTTTTATCAGCTCTGTAGTCGCTTTGTGTGTTCAAACCGTAGTCTCTTTAGGTACCAAGGAGACAACTGTCTGTGCAAGAAGACGGCACCGCTGCTGTCATTAGTGTACTCCAAGGCTCCTATCGTCTTCTCTCACTCGGCGCGCTTTGTCAGGGGCATAAAAGGCAAATGTGCGTTAAATGAGCAAATCAGGACGTTTTGTTATTGGGATAGTGCAGTTGGTGTGAGCCTTCTCTCATGCTGCATTTGCAGGCAGGTTGGAATTACTGCAATGGCTGGGCGCAAGTCTTCCCTCACTAGCCAGAAAACACCGTTGTAAGGATGCCAAATGCGATGCCATTTCGACACTAAGTGTCGCCATCGCAGTGACTGTGATGGCACAAGAGCAGGTGTGATGGCATGAACACGTGTCAAAGGGCGTCACAGCTGGCATCGCCAAATTGTTGCTTTCTCCTGGTGCCTGATTTTAGTCCAAAATTGAGCGTGAGAACAAAGGGAGAAACCACTAGTGGTACCTCCAGCACTGGAGGCGCAACCTCCTGCAACGTTGCCCAATTCCCCCACTGCAGGTGGCCGCAGCGTCGCGGTCCCTTGCTCCGCGGCGTTGGTGGGAAAACTGCGAGCCCCTGCCGAGGCCGACGGCCCCGGCGACCCCAACGACCCCACCACGCGCCCGTGCCCTTGCGACAATTAGCTAACTTCCTGTTGTCCCGTGGGCACTTCATGCGTCCAGCTATTAATCAGTTCTGGTCAGAACAACGCCTTGGTCCAAGGTACTCTCCCCTTGGGGAGGCCCACCTCACGCATCAGCGAGCCGCGGACCCCCTCCACGGCAGTCGCCCCCAACCCCTCAACACGCCACCAGTACGCCGGCACGACTCCTCGCTCGACCCCTCGAATGCCAAATTACGCACAGGCCGTCACCGCAGTACCAGGTCCGTCAGACCCCCGCAAGGCAATCTCCATCAAGCCCCGCTCCGAGGCTCCGAGGCTGGTGCGCGGGCAGCGGCCTCATCGGCAAACCCTGGCTTCGCCACTCTGCCAGATCCTCGCAACTCGCACCTGGGCGCCTCCTGGCAGCAAGACGAAGCTCGTTTTGACGGTTTCGGGCCGCAACAGCGCGCTGCAGACGCAGGAAACTGAGGTGGAGGCAAAGGAAGTGGGTTCCGTTTGTTTTGGAATCGTTTCCTTCCCCGGGGGCTGAAGGGGGGGCGCGGGAGGAGGTGAGAGAGCGGGCGGGCGGCAGGCGGTTTTGTTTCTGCGCTCGTTGGGCCGCCACAGCGCGCTGCGAAAGCGGCGGCTGGCCCGGAGCTGCAACGAGCGGGGTTTGCTGTCTTTGGGATCATTTTCTCCCCCTGGGGCTGAAGGGGGGTGCGGGAGGAGCGAGGTGGGCTGGCAGGCGCCAGGCAGTTTGTTTCCGCGGTCTTTTTGGCGCGGAGAGGCCGGAGGGGGCCAAGGCGGCCGGAATCTGTTGGAGAGTTTTGGGGTGTCGACAGCGGAGGAGGAAGGGCGGGAGGGGACGCAGCCGGCCGGAATCTCCCCTTCAGAAGGTTTGAGCGTCGTCCCAGGGGCTGTGGGCCGGACGCGGAGAGCGGGGTAGGCCTGGGTGGCCTGGCGGGATGGTCAAATTCCGGGGACCGACCCCGTTTCACCACGGGGAGGTCATGGTGCAGGAGAAGGCGGGCGCACGGCTGCAGGGCGAGATCCTCGGGCGGCAGACCATCAAGGGCGCGATGCCCGAGGCCCACCGCGAATTCTTCGCCGCCCAGCGCGTCGTGTACGCGGCCACGGTCGACGAGGCCGGCGCGCCGTGGGCCTCCGCGCTCGCGGGCCCCGAGGGTTTCATCTCGTCCCCGGATGATCGGCATCTGAGGATCGAACCCATGCTCCCCCACGCCTCTGACAGGGGGAACTTCTCCCCAGGCTCTCCGATCGGCCTGCTGGCAATCGACCTGGCCACCCGGCAGCGCTACAGGGCAAACGGCGTGATCCTGGAGACCCCCAAAGCCTCAGTACATTGCCTACTCCTCAGGATCGACCAGTCTTTCGGCAACTGCCCCAAGTACATCGCCTCCAGGCGGGTGATCGTCCGAGACGCCGGCCTTCTGGAACCTTCCGCGCGCGATCCAGCCATCCGCGGCGCTTGCCTGGGCCGCCCGCAGATCGCCGCGATCCGAGCCGCGGACGTCTTTTACGTGGCGAGCGCCTATACTGGTCCCGTGGGCCCGGACAGCAGGGAGAACTCCGCGGGGGCGGACATAGCCCACAGGGGCGGGCCGGTGGGATTCGTGCGAGTGGTGGACGAGCGCACGCTGAGGTGGCCGGACTACGTGGGCAACGGGTTCTTCAACACGCTGGGCAACATCGTTTTGGAGCCGCGCTGTGGTCTGCTGTTCCTGGACTACGCGACGGGCGACGCGCTGCAGGTGCGAGTCGACACAGCGGGTCGAAGGCCGTGCAACCGCGCTGTTCCACCGCCTGTCAGGGCTGTTTCTTCATCTTTTTCTTAATTTCATTCTTGACTCCTCTCTTTACTTTTTTCATCACTTTTTTGCTCCGTCTTTTCCTCATTGTTCTTCACTTTCCCTCACTTTTCCTCCTTTATTTCTTCCGCATTTCTCCCTTTCTCTTCGCTCTTTTCGCTTTTTTCTGCACTTTGTCTTCAGTTTGTCTTCGCCTTTTTGCGGCGCGGTGGAGAAGATGATCTTTTGGATGCTGCATCTGTTGTGCCAGTGCTGCTTGATTGGTTGCTGCTGCTTCGTTGCTTGTTGTTGGGAGGTGACGCTGCGGTACCCTGCGTTTTCGTTGGAGAATTATTGGCGGAGATATCCTTCAGGAGGATGGGGCGCCTCTCTTTGGGTGCCGACGGCTGACTTGCAATGGAATACAACGTTTCGTGGCATTGAACTGGAGCTCTTTTATTCAGCAAAATTATGAACACTGGTAGAATTTTAGGCAAATAACAGCCAAGAATTTGGACAGAATGACAGAAGCTTGGACAATTACTGTGAAATGAATTGTGAGCACCTGTTTGCCTTCCTTGACTGCACTCGGCGGAGAGTCTAGGATGGTACATTATCGACAACATTTGACACTGCGTCAGCATTATTCGGGCAGTTGCGGAACCCAACGCGACGAATTCCATTTCACTGTGTTGTTTGTACGTTAAAAGAACAATCTCGTTCATTCAGGTGAGCGGCAGAGCGGCTGTCCTGTTCGAAGATCGGACGCTGCCCGGAGCACAACGCACCGTGGAGTTCCGCGTGGAGGAGTTCTCGCACGTGCGCGCAGCGCTGCCTCTAGCTGTTAAGGGTCCGGTAGAGGCGTCACCACACAACCCTGTGGCGGTGGGAGAGGGTGATGATCGGGTCCAATTGGTGGAGTGCGTGTGGGTTAAGGTGAGCGATGAAGCTCTCGCCGCCGCAGGCGCATGTCCTTTGGAAGCGAGACACTAAAAGTCGTGGGGAAGTACCCTGAGCTGCGCTCTGTATAGGATTTTGGTCGATGCGCTTGAAGATGGTTGTGCCTTGTCACATCGTTTGTTTGTTTGTTCCTTACATGGATGCATCGACATGACGTCACGGCATCGATCAATGTAGCGTACCATCCGGTGAATGACGGGCACATCAAGGCCCACTCATATTGCAAAACACCCCTCTAATGGTGGTCGCAGCTGACTTCGATTCCCAAAGCTCCCCCACACAAAACAAAAGAAAATTATCTGCATGCCGCCTTGTCACATTGGCATGAGTGGAATGCCAGGTATCATTGTGTAATTATCACGTTTTGGGAGTTCTTATATTCCGGGCTGATGGTGTGTCCAGAATGTTCGGAAGTGAAGTTCGTTCGCAGTATTTTAGTCAACCAGTGTTGATGGCATTCGCAGAAATCACAGCAGCAGCAACGGGGCTGTGTGCGATTTCTACGCTCGACGACGTGTTTTGTGCCAATGCACTGCAACATTCTAGGGAACGGTTTGGCCAAAGAGAAGTTACTCTGGTTTGCATTGAAGGCGGGTGAAGGAGGCGAATCGCCTGTGCTGTTCTGAATTTGCAACGCTGGTAAAGTACAGCATGTACTGGGTATGTACAGGTCGAGCGGAGCCCAACATTCCATTAGAAGTGTCATGCTTTTCTGTTGTGCAGTGCAAAGCGCGATTCGCTGAAATACTGCGCAGCCAGCAGGCCTTTGGCATCTAATTAATGCTGCAGCCTTTTTACTGACTGCTGCAGTGAAATGTTGTATTGGACAAGAACAAGCATGAAGTGTTAGTGTAGCCTTAGGTCGGGATTCTATCAGCATTGCGTTTGTTCACTCTGGAACCCACCTGCTTAGATGAAAACACTGTGTACTAGCCTATGTACTGTACACCGTGTACTTCAGTCCCAGCTAGAAACCTCACAGAGTGAGCCCAGTTCTTGGTGCCTTTTAATTCCAAATATTACTGAAATGCAATGTAATATTTTGAAATAGAATGAGCACGAGCACGTTCCTGGTTTCGTACCACAACTACTAGGCACTGGCTACTACACAGTACTTGGGCCCTGTACCCACGCAGCCCCAAAGAGCGCCAGCGCCCACGTGCTTCCCTACGACGCCCAGCACTGACCTCTTGCGATGTGCACCCCCAACAGGACGAGGCAACAGGCGTCAAGACTTTCGAATTCAGGATGCCTGTAGGGGACGACGGTGAGCCCCTCGACTACCTCCCTGGCCAGTATGGATCCTTCGACCTTAGAGGCCCAGAGGGCCGCAAAAAAGTCACAAACCGCGCTTGGACGATCTCATCCCACCCCGCCCACTCTCGCGCCACGGGCATCTTCACGATCACTGTCAAAAACATCGGTGTGGCGTCGCGCTGGCTGCACGAGATGATGGCCCCCGGGGAGTCCATTGCTTTCCGCGGTTTTGGCGGAGATTTTACACCGATGAAGGGCGTGAAGGGCGGATCGGCAAGCCAGAGGATGGCAGCACTGGTGGCTGGTGGGATTGGAATCACGCCCCTGTGGAGCATGCTGAGGCATTTCGAGATGGACGGCGCAGATGTCTTGGTGCTTTACTCGGCGAGGACTTCGGGGGAGGCGGCGTTTCTGAGAGGGATTGAGGAGAAGGAAGAGAAGAGCGGGGGGAGGATAAGGATGAGGGTGACTGTGACTGGGGAGGACCCAAAGTGGAGGGGGATGAGGGGGAGGGTGGACGAGGCATTTTTGAGGCGGCACGCGCCGGACCTGAGGCGGAGGGAGGTGTACCTTTGCGGGCCGCAGGGGTTCATGGATAACGTGGGGGCCGCCATGAGGCGCATGGGGTGCGATTCCGGGAGCATATTCACGGAGTCGTTCGCGTTCTGAGGGCGTGGCAGTTTCTGCGCTTTTGTTTTTTCCTGGTGATGGCTGTGGGTGTTTGGCGCTGGGCGCGTGGCGGAGTTGCCTGCAGTTGGCGGTGTTGTCTGTGGCGGAGGGTGCTGCCAATGTCGGCGCCTTGAGAGGGTCGTTCCAGCCTGCGCTTAGATACATAACTTAAATTAAGATTCCGTCATTTCCGTATCGTCTCGCTTGGGTGACGGGTACGTGGAGGGGGAACAGGAAAGCAGTTTTTCTTGCTCCCGTTTCGAATTTTTTGTGCTTGTCTCTTGGCGTGTGGGAGCGCCGGGGGCGGCCTGATTGGGCGCCTGGGCGGCTGTGAGGGAAAGGCACCTCTGTTGCCCTTTCGTTGTTGCCTTTATCCGTTTCCCTTGTCTGAATGTTCCTCTTCTCCTTCGTAGTTCTTCGCCTGTTCATTCATGTTCTGCATGGGAACGGCGACCCATTGAGCGCCCGGACGGCAGTCTGTAAACGTGTGCCAGAAGCAGCCGCGGGTGACAATAGTTGCCAGGTTACGCCACCAGTAGACCATGGAGCACTACCATTCAACATTAGCCGACTGCGACAGCTTGCATCAAACTGGGCCCGCCTTTCACCAGGGCAGCAAGGGTCGGAAGGTCCACACATTCAAGATGGTTCGCGCATTCAAACCACGGGCTCTGGCGGAGCTTCAGTATATATAAATAATCGTATATACAGTGCCGTATATACCGTCGCCTAATCGTATATGCTGTAAGTAAGTAAGTAAGTAACGAACGAACCAACCAACACATTGTTGCTATCTGTGGATACACAAACAGCAGCACACTCACGAGTGTGCCCATGAGTGTGGATATTTATGGCGGGGCTCTCCCGATCAGGAGAGAAACGCCATAAATATCCGTATCTCCATCTATGTTATTGACGCAATATTGGAGACGACGAAGGCGGGGGCGCCCCCACCCTTGGCCGCTTCCAGAATCCACCAAACAGCTGGACCGGGCAAAAACTCCTGGGCGCAAACATTGCTGTGGACCACGGTAAAAAAGGCCAAAGAAATGACGGAGTTTGTTGGCGGGGAAGCCAAACTGATCAGGCTGAGTGCCGTGACATCCGCGCAAAATATTCAAACTTCACTAGGACAAAAAAAGATCAAATAAAACGTGTTCAAACGTTACGGGTTTGGGTTATCTTCGTGTTTTCAGCATGCGGAACACTGATAAAATGCATGTATATGAGTTCGGAAAACGTGCTACTTGGTCCTTTTTCTGCTGGAGCATAAAAATTTGCCAACTTGATAGCTGCAATGTGCTGAAGCACCGCTTTGCAAGGTTAACTGGTTGAATGCACACTATCCCTCCCTACATGGGCGACATGGACTTACGGCTCTGCCAATGTGGCGGTAGCGATCCTAAATATTTTACTGCATCGTTTCCACGGCCAGAAACAAATCCAGATCGATTCTCATCAAGGCTTGACAGCTTAGCCAGTTTTCAGTAGAGAAAGCCTCATCAAGTTCCCTTCCAACATGTTTAGGCCCCGGACAGGTGTCCACCATCTAAACTCTATTACTGTACCTTTACCAAGCTCTAGAATAGTCTTCGCCACCTGCCTGCCATGTTGCACTGCCAAATGTGGCAAATCTTACCTGTCCTCAGTGTTCCATTGGCAATCCGATCAGCTGAAATGGAAGACCCGATGTTTTATCCCTCATGCACTGCCTTGCAGCTGCTGCAACATACACACCATCGCTTCTGCAAAGATAGGGACATTCTCTCACTCCTTGGAGCCAGGCAATATAAGTTTTACTGTCTTTGTCATGGATGAGTTGGTCCACCACATCTTCAAAACTGTAGACTAAAGCAACCACGTGTCGCGCATTTCTACATCTCCCCCCCTGACCCCTTCCCTAAGTAAAGTAAACGAAATTAGCCATTTTCTAGAAATACTGAATAGTCCCCAAACAGCAGCTTCAGCTCAGTGGGTTTGCCCTAATTACTTTGCTGAGCAACATAACTCATAATGTGAATCGCGAGCTTTGTGAAAGTCTGCAAATCTGTCAACGGAACTAATTATATTCTTGACGATTTTCTGCCAAGGATGACGATAGGGGGGCTGTGTATGTGGTCTGAATAGGCGACTGAACCGATTGTCTCCTTGACTTGTTATGTACTTCAGTAATATTTACTATAAAATAGGAATCATGACGAGTATGAATCGTTGCTTTTCTTTAGTGACCGTATCAACCCCCGCCCTTGGATGTATGGCCGCTTGGTACCTTGCACCGAGTTCTGGGGCCTGTCACAGGACTGAGTCGCGCATTATTAAGGCGTAATGTACTGCAAAGCGCAAGGGACGTCGGCTTGAGGCCGTGGAGGTGATGAACACCGTTTCAATTATATTCGCGTAAGAGTCTTGGCATGTGTGTTGTCATACGTATGGTCATGCGTCTCCACATGACAAGAGAAGTTTACCATATTTTCAAATCCCTTTCGCATAGTTACGTAATGCTTGGCATTTATTTCGCAAAAAAGCCAGTAACTTTTTACGAAGAAATAACGTTCCAAAAAAATGCAGAGAAAAGTAGGAAAACCTTAAAATTTTCAATGTGGAAAGGCATAAGTAAGAACGCTGTGAGGAACTGTGATCGCACGGCATCACACGGCCGCGCCCCATGCGTTCACATTTTGCGCATCAGCTTTTGATTAGGGGATGTGACAGACCGGCACCGCCCCCCCCGGGGTGATGCGACAGCTGGATCTGTACACATACGGCCTCCACCCTTACCAATAGGTGTCTCGGCATGTGTCTTGCCATGTGTCTCCGCGTGACGGGACGGCATGTCTTGCCACATGGGACGCATGACCTGGGAAGAAACCTTAGGTAACATGAGCGTTTGGGCGACATGGAACCTGCAAGCGCACCACATTGCGAGTCCGCCCTTCACACCCAGCATGGGGCCTTCCTGGCTTGCCGCGCTCGGCCTCCTCCTCCTGACACCTCTTCCGCCGGCGGCCGCCCAACAAGACGCTTCCTAGGGCCTCTCCACAGAGAACCTGGCCATCGACCCGCAGCGTGGCCACCCCCTGCATGGTCGCCCTTCGCAATCAGGCCGGTTCCACTACTGCACGGGGGCCCTGGTGCGATTGGACAAGGTCCTCACGGCGCCCACTGCGTGGACAGGAGGACGTCGTCGCTCGCCGTGGCCAGGCCGGTGCTGAGGATCGGCGCCAGTGGGACAGACGAGCTGCAGAGCCAACACCAGTAGAAATGACATGCTTGGGATGCCAACTGCGATGCCGCTTGACACAAATTGATGCCTCGCAGCCACTTTAATGCCGTAGATATCGCTGTGACCTCTGCCAATTAAATGGCACGAAGATTTGACATAAAGTTTTATGTCAAAATGGCATCGCAGTTGGCATCGCAAACATGCCGTTTGCTACCAGTGCAAAACGTGGCGAGGCGAAGCCAGCACTTGCTCCAGCGAGGGGATGGGTAAGATTTGCTATGAAGGGGTGGGCAAGACTTGTTGCGAAGAGAGAAAGCAGCAGGTAATACAAAGGGCTCCCCATTTTGGACCAGTGTATGGCAGACTCTTATCCATGCTGTGAAAGTGACAGGGCGGCAGCAGGTGGCGTGTGCTTTTGGAGAATGCGTTGGGAACTGGGAGTTGGTTGATGGCGCTTTGTTTGGGAAAGGTTGAGGGTGTAGAGATGTCTGTGGCGCCCGAATAGCGTGGCGTTATGTACTGGGTCGAATTCCGTTTCAGAAATATTTTGGCTGGCTCTTTCCTGAGCCTGTGAAGGAACGACAGCGCAGAGGCGTATGAGGCCATCGGGTCATCACATTTTCAAAGCATGATGGACCGGTGCCTTTCCACCCATTAGCCAATTTTGATCCCCCAACTCACATATATCAATGGACTTGGTAAATCCACGGAATGCATGTATGTGGCGCACTTGGTGTCTGGGGCAAGTTGCTTTTTTCCTCATCCCTCACCGCACTGACCTGAGCTGAATCCTCATTGCACATATCAATGCATGGCAGTGCAAACTTTACCCATGATACAACATGGGTACTGCAGTGAGCAAGAATATGTATGCGCACACAATGCATGCCTAAGTGAAGCACTGCCCAGGGTCGTGGAGTTCTGCCACTTGGAGCCACAGCAATCCAGATATCTATTGCCCTAGAGATTAGCCATAGGTCCAGTCATGCCACTTGCCAACACCGGGGGTTGCAACCCATATTACAGAAGTACTGTGGCTTGGACAAGAATGATGCCCTGTCTCAATTGTGACTTTGGCAACATGGCAGCCCATCTCGGTGATTTCTTTCACAGTCAGTTTGTTGAAGTGACAAAGCATTCTTGATATATCTATGATCAGTTCATGCAAATCCAAAGTATAACACAAGCAAAGTTTAGGAATCTATGGAACCAAGGGCAGTCAGAACGGCAGTCATGATTGCTGTGTGATGGCGATGATGGCTGCGACCGGCGTTCTGGACGCGCACGCGACAGACCGCGTGTGCAACAGACCGCGCAGTTGGCCATTCTCCGGGCATTCGAAGCTGCCTTCCAGCTGGCACCGTGCCGCTTAACCCCACCAGCCGCGTTACCCCTCACTCCACTCGTGCACAGCATGGGACCCCGCTTGCTGCACCTGCTGCCTCTGCTCCTCCTCGCCGGGGTCCTCCTCGCGGCTGCCCAAGACGATGGCCCCCAGGACGTTTCCGAGGAGGAGCTGGCCAATGACCTTCGCCAGCGGCATCCCTACATGGTGTCGCTGCGCAACCAAGCCGGCTTTCACTACTGCACGGGTGTGCTGGTGCGGCAGGACCGAGTGCTGACGGTGGCGCACTGCGTGGACACGCGGACGTCGTCCGTGGCGGTGGCGAGGCCGACGCTGAGGATCGGGGCCAAGCGGACGGATGCGCTGGATGACATGACGGTGGTGAGCCGGGGAGAGGAGCAGATTTCCTGCGCATAGTGTTGTGACAAAAAT